CACTATTTTCAAAAAATTGTCATGAACTTCTTTCTCAGCGTTAAAAAAATGGGGAGAAACAAACGTAAAATGAAAATGGGATTCCTCCTTGAAGGTTTTACCGTATTCTGTAAATAAATTTTTCAGCGAAAAATTTAGCTGAATGCGTATTTGTTAACGCTTTAGGTCCCGATTTTTTTTCGCATTCAGACCAAAATCTTGGAACTATTTGCTGTCTGCGATATTTAGTCACTAGAATAAGCATACCTTTCATTGTTAGTAGGCGTTCAGAAGCACTAATAATTGCTCTCCCTGTTGGTTGCGAACATATAAGCAAAAAAATTGTTACGATGAAGAAAATGGCTGGAATTATGCTAAATAAATGTGATTTAGTAATAATGTAGTAAATAGCTATATAAATGTGCATATGGTTATAAGGTTTAATAGTCATTAGTAACAAAACTCTTCTGTCTTCTACTTTCAAAAAGAAATGCAGGCAGGCACGCTAACCTTTTGGGTCAACCTATCTTTTATTTAAATTTTGTATACTTCTTTACTCAAACATTTTGATTCTATTGAACGATTGAACAAAGTAATTGCTGCTAAATCTTTTCAGATGTGACCCCTACACTCTCAGCTCAGTTGAAGCAGACCATGCATAGATTGGAGAACAATTACTGTACTTAATTTCATTGTCATAAACAAGCAACTTTGTGTTGTTGGCAGTCCCTTATCAGATGGAGATGTGAGAACAATTCCTAGGGCTATAGAAGATTCAAACAAGTATTTAGAATTTTTGTAACTGTTTTTAAAATATGTTTGAATCAAAAAGCTGAGATTATACATCTTTTGTGAATATCAATTTTAAGTTATCTAAAAAGAATGGCCCATAGTTGCCAGCCATGTTGAGTGAATTTCGCCAACTAAAAATATCTCCGAAAAATAATTTTAGAAAATAATACGGCGACCCTGAATTTTTACAGTTCCTTACGTAGTTCAGTAACACATAACTTATTGGTAGATTTGAAATTTTGTTGCCTGATAGAAGTAGGGGACGCTGCAAAAGATCTTGCGCATGAATTATAGTTTCCAAAATTTCTAAGCTAAAAACATACATCAACTCGTGAAATTGTGGAAAGTAATGGGGCCAAGAGTAATAAGAAATTTACAGCCAAAACTTTCAAACTCTAACCGAATCACCCTTTCTTGGTAATTTATTTTTGTCTTCTGAGATCACAATGCGTTTTTTGTTCCGTTGTAATTTCGAAGATTTAAATCAAATCAGGCCCAATCTTGATCTCGCTTTCGTTAACAAAAAAATAACCAGCTCAGAAAACAAGCTCTTGGTTAGAATAAGAATACTAAAGCACTATGCTACAGATAATCAATCTTTTTAAGTTTCCAGTTTTCAGGGGGCGAATATATGACATGCAGCGCAACTTTCTTGAAGCAACATTTGCCGTTTTGGATTAAATCGAGGCTCATGAAGCATGATACCCGCGGATAGTTTTTTTTATTCAAAAATAATTCAGCCTTAGTATTATGTTCATTGGAAATCATTTTGAAGTTT